TCGCTTAAATTCACAGCTTTACCTTAAACACAATGTTCAGTGCAGTTTATGGCCCAGTTGATTTTTTTTTTTTGTGTGTGGGCCGGTGGGTACAAGTAAATGTCACGGGACGCTAATGTGTTTTTATAGAAATGTGCAGAATAAATATAAAAAAAAACTCAATATTGTAACAATTTTCCAAAACGAACAACTGTTTGTTTCGTCAATGCTAAAAATCAACAGTTTACTTCTGCTCCTGGAAATGGACACCGAATTTCTTCGATAAACTGGATATTCTCATGAGATGCGCACCCTACTTTCCCATCGGTTTCCTAAATAGTGTCGTGTTTGGGGGCAATTTAAAATATCGCCTGTTAAGATTGATTAAATCTCTTGTTTTAAAGTTTCAACTATTCGACAAATTCAATGTTTGATTGGGGCGCGAAAAGTTTTTTGTGAGACGTAAATTTTTTGTTTTTTGCCCTTTAAAAATACAAAAGGGGGAAAAAATTAAAAAAAAAGGACCTTTAAAGCAGCCCTTTTAAAATTTTTCCCAAAAGGAAAAACCCGATATTTAAACCCTCCCACTAAAAAACCACTTGGAAAAAAGGGTTTTTTTAAAAAGTGGTTTTTTATGTTGTGGCTGATTTAAACACTTTTTTTGCTGTTTGGCGCCTTTTTGGCGTTCCCGCGCTAGAAACGGACGACAACACGACAGCGGGGAAAAACGCTTTCGTTTGGGTGCTTTTCGTATTTCGCTAGCGCCCAAGACGGAAGGCGATAAATTCCTTAGTTGGTGGGCGGCTACCCGAAAACCAAAATTGGCAATGCCAAATCCCACCCCCCCTGTTTCCCCTTTCTTCCCTTCTTTAAACATGCGAAAGTTAAGGCCGCAGTAAATTAGTTAATTTAAAAAAATTTTCAATTAAAAAAAAAATTTAAATTTATACTATTTAGAAATATGGTTTTTGACTTGTTGTTGTTTTTTTAAAAAATTTTAAAGAGAAAATTTAAATTACTGATTCTGAAATATTAGAATTTCCCTAGCCCAAAAAAAAGTTAACTTCAAAAGCCCATAAATGCAACTGCTAGAAAGATTTTTTTAAACAAGAAATTATTTTTAAAAAAAAATATAGGGGCCTTTGTTTCCCCGGGCCCCGGTATCCCTGCCCCCGCTTCCCCTAACCGACAAAAACCCCCCTTCTTTTGTCCCCACAAAAAAAATAAAAAAACCCCCCCCCCCCAAAAAACCCCCAAAAAACCCCCGTTAAAAAATTTTTAAAGTCATGTTGCAGTATTTTTTCGCAAAAAGGGCTGCATGGTTCTGCAAAATGCGGTCCCATTTTTATCAAATTTTTCTTGATTTTCCCCCTTAAATTTTTGATTTTTTCCTTTGTTAAAAATTGGTAGGGGTTATCAGCTGGGGCACCTTTTTTTGAAAATCATTTAGACATATGATATTTTTTCCGACCCCTTTACTTTCGGAAAAAGGGTGGAAAATTTTTCGCACAAAAACCCAAAATTTGGGTTTCCATTTTAAAAAAAGTTTTTTCATTTGTTTGGGTTTTAATAGACAAATATTGTTCAAAAATTTTTTGCAATATGAAAAATAAATTCAAAAATTTCCGTATGTATGAAAATCCTAAAAAAAATAAATTTTAGTAAAAATTTTGGGCATTTTTAAATTTTTACCTTTTGAACTTTTCAAAAAATTCGTAAGAATGATAGGGTGTTGCGCACTGATGAAAAATCGGGTCCCGGGGAAAAATAAATGGCTATCCCCTTGACACCGGGGGAAATTTTGGAAATAAAAAAGCTAGAAAAGCTGGTGAAGGGGAAATTTATATTAAAAAGTTAATGAAAAACCCGGGTTTGGTAAATTAACATTTTGCTATTTATAATCTAGCTTTTTATTGCAAGTTTTTTCAATACAAAAAAAAGAAAGTACATTTTAAGGGTTTAAAAATTTTACGGGAAACAAAAATATTTTTTTCGTTAAATTTAAATTAAAATACAATATAGTATAATAAATTAAAAATAAAAACAATGAAATTTTCACAAAAACCACACATTTAAAGGGGCCACTAAAGGGTAATAAATTTTCTGAAAAAATCCAGAATCCTCTAAAAAACCGGACATTCGGTAAAAGTTCGATCAGGTCCGAACAAACAGAAGAAAAATCACAAAATCATAAATGCAAATCATTCGTCTGCAGCGCAGTCACATGTCACTTCCCTAAAAGCATTTTGAGCGGGAAAAACCGGGTCGTGTAGGAAAGGCAAATATAACTAAATGAATGATTTAGATTTTAAAAATTTTTACAACGTAAAGTTCTCACGCACCGTTTAGTCAATATTTACTTCCTAGAAAGAATGTCACGATTTTCTTCAATTTGTTTTGTTGTCGTCTTTGTCATGATATTTTGAGAAATCATCACGTAAAATATAGGTTTTTGTCACTTGCGAAAATATTTGAATATAATATTTTTCAACCTAGTTAATTTATTGGTTTTTCAGATATTTATAGTTAAAGAATAGATTGATCAGCTGTTGTAGATTTCTAAATTAAATTTTTGGGGAAATTTTTTTAAATTTTTTTCATTTAAAGTTTAAAATAAAATATGATTTTTTTTAAATAGAGCAAATAGGGCCTGTCTAAAATTTAGAAGGGCCCCAGCGTGAAATTTAAATTCAAGAAGCCTGCAAAAGGAAAATTTAAACATGTCTGTGAAGGGCTCGGGGGAAATTTTTAAAAACCCAAACGTGGCTGGTTTACTTTCCGGATGACACCCTTGCAGCTGGTCCCGGGGATTTTTTAGGAGTTAGGGTTATTTTTTAAAAGTCTCTAAAGGGGTTAAAATAAAACGTTCAAAATAAAAAAAAGGGAAAGTGGTTACCCTTTCAGCTACCCAAAAGAAGGCCCGTTGTGAGCTTTCGGTACCCAAGAAACACTGTCCCTGTCTAGTGTACAGCATTTTAAAGGGAACCCGCATTTGCCCATTTGTACTTTAAAATGATGCTCCACCATTTTTGAAAAAAGGGAATATGAGGGAAATACAAGGTATTTTTAAAAAAATTTGTCAAAGTTAATACGAAACTTTAAATATCATTCTTTGGGTATATTTTTATGGAAATTTTAAAATTTATAAAATAAAATGATAAATTTTTAATTTTAAGTTCTTTTGTTTTTAATTGGGGGATGGAAAAAGAATACAAAATCAAATACTCGAGTACTGGGTTTGAGGTTTTTTTCCAAATCAGTACCCCGGTTTCCCTCGGAAATTTTAGTGTTTAAAAATTTAATCTGCCCATTTATCAACCCCGCCCCCATGCACTTTCGTTTTCTTTTTTAATTCCCATAAAATTCCCTTTAACTAATAAATGGTTTTGGAACGGGAAAAAATTAAAATTAAAAATTAAATTTCAAAAAAATTAAATTTTAAAATTTTTTAAAATTAAGGCAATATCAAGTTTTAACATGTAAAACTTATATTTTTTTTTCGTTTGAAATGATAAGACTGGGGCGCAACAAAAGTTTAAAAGGGGTTTCTAAATACATTTTCCCCTTTTATTTAAAATTATTTTTGGGAAAACCCGGCTTTTTGTTGTTTTAAAAACAGTTATTCTGCTAAAAACTTTTACAAAATTTGGGAAGGGTTATTGGGAATTCAAAAAATGGATAAACATAAGGACATAGGTTTGCTCTTTTAAAACTTTTGACGTTAATTTTTTTGTTTATCTTTTTTCGCCCCTTCTGGACTGAAAGGGATGTTTTGAGGGATTGAACGGGGTATTATGAAGAAAATTCGCCTTTTCCCCAAAATTTTAAACAAATTGGATATAAAAATCTTTTTTAAATCTTTAAAAAAATTAAATTTTTAATTTTTTTTTCCGAAAATCAAATATAAATTTTGTTAACGATATTCGAAGTTCATCGATACCCCGGTTAACCGGTTACTCGTTGCCATCCCTATTTTAAATGCTAATTAAGGATTTGTTGTCTTATTTGTATGAACGATGAATTATTAAATCATTTATTTGTTAATTAAGCACATGGTAGAAAATAATCATATAAAGACCAAAAAAGCTGGTATCATCAAATTCAAAAATAAATGCATTTTCATTAGAACCCTGTCTTTGTGTGTTTATATGTATAATTTTATTTTTAAATAGATAAATATCGAACATTATCTCAAAATCAATTAGCCTACATCAACAATCGTTTCACAGAACATGGAAACTTTCCTTACTGGTGGACGTCAATAATTGCAATTATTAGAGTTTTCATCTTAAATGTGTTTGAGAATAAAACATTTTGAAACGTAAAAGGATTATTCTAATAATTATGTAGACAATTTCAATTGATGTTAATCAACTGCAAAAATGCTCTTTTTTTTCTGGCCGTCTGGAGATGACAAAGATCGATATTGGTACTTTCTTTACTGTAGCTGACATGGTGATTTATCTCTAAAAAGTAAACAAACGAAGACAATAGCTGTTTCTGGTTGAAATCCTCGCTTAAAGACATATGCATTTTCAAATTTCATACATAATTTTGAAAAGTGCTGTATGGTTCGCAATTCAGTGTGTTCTGTTTAGCCGTAAGTGACTCATGTACAGCTAGAACTTTTGGCTAGCCCCTTCCTAAAAAAATATCATGTACTGTGCTCCTCTTGGTAGACATGTTGACGTCCCCGTGCGGGGTTTGACATTAAAGGAAGATAGTTAGTTGGATGGATGAATGGATGGATGAGCATAGCGTTCAGGTCTGCAGTTCAAAGGTCAAGATCACACTTGTATGTCTGATAATTGTGAATTGTAACACTCTTTTTATTGTAAACCATGCTTTTGATGCAAATCATGGTGCCTCTACTTGGCCATGTTTTTTTTTGGGGGGGGGGGGGCATTTGTCTGTTTCTATTGACAGTTCTTGTTTTTCATGTTATGGTGACTTCCAATATGTATGAGTTTATTAATATATTTTCAATTAATTTGATAAACTTGAAATAAAAGAACATTAGTAAAAAAGATCAATTATTGATGAAGTGTAAAATATACTTTAGAATATGTGATGTGTTATATGTTGCAGTATATTGGTTGTTTGGAGGTGAAAGAATCTATGAGAGCCTTAGATTTTGACACAAGAACAGCTCTTGCAAGGTAAAAATCATACATATTTGTCATCTATGGGCAATAATTATCCATAATCAGGGTTTTCATTATTTACAGATTGACAATCAATATCATGGGTTGAAATGATGTTTAAATTGGTTGTATTTTAAGCCTGTAGATTAAACTATCCCCTTTGAGCCTTGGCCAAATCAGTTGGTTTTGTTGTCACATCTGTTGCCTCAGATAAAAATGAAAACCCTGCATAAATATAATTTAAACCCTGCATATAATAAAAATGCTGCATAATCATAAAAATTATGTGTCATATGCATTATAATTGTACAAGTTTCATAGACATTATCATTTATGATCTAAGAATTCTATCTTAGCATCTCATCATTGACAGATGCCCAGTCTGAACAACTATAATCATAAAATTTTTGCTCATAAAGTAAAATTTAATAATCATTTTTATGCTCACTATATACATCATAACAAAAATTTGTGAGCACAATTTTGATGCTAAATCATAAATTTTTGTCCTGTATGTTTCACTCACTATAATTTTCACTTATTTGTGTTACATCCGTTTTAGTAAATTAAAATTTTTATATATAGGTTTTTAGGGTCTGTGTTTTAAAGATCGCCTACCCTCTTTCTGTGTCAGGACTCCTAGAAGGGATGCTGAACTCTTTTTTTGGAAAAATGGTTCTTGTTTTAGATTTTTTTCCCTTCTTTTCCATATTTCCCCTATGTATATAGCCAAATATAGCCTTTGTTGATTGTCAAAATGTTAATAGTATTATACCTATTTGGAAAAAAAAAGAAATGGTTAAAATTTGTATGTGATTTTATTAACATATTTACATAGAAATTATATCATTTTTTTACAGAGAAGCTATCAACAGAGTAAGTGAGGCTGCAGGACTGAAAACAGCAACAAAAAGGAAAAAGGTATATAGATATAGTATATAAAATAGTATTACTTATCCTTTACTCTCTAAATTTGTGCGACCTGTTTTGATTTTGCAACAGTCCATTTGAAAATTAAACAAATTTAAATACATGTACCAAAATACAAAAATTAGAGGCAAAGGCTAATCACTTTTTGCTCCAGCATTTTATTAATGGTTAAATGAGCATCCATAAAGTTTGTTTATTTCTATGCTTATTCTCAATTGCATAAATCAAAATGAGCATAAAATACTATTTCTCATTGGTGTTTTCCCCCACGAGTATTATAATTACTCTAATGGGCAGGTATCATATAAAAATTACAAGTCTGAAATTTTTTTTTTCTCATTAGCCTACATTTATTAAGAACCAAATAATATATTAAACCTAGTGTTAATTTATTTAACAAAAAATGTCACCTATCTATGATGTGTTATAGATTGACAAGCGTATAGGGAAAATGTTGAGTGACACACCGTGTATGAAGTATGCAGGGTCAAATGTCAATCTTACAATTACAGTAGACAGTATTAACCTAATGGTCATGGAATCAGGAGAGGTAAGGCAGTTGTTTATAGCATTTTATTGAATAGGTGGAAAAGCGTGAGAATTTAAACAAGGCTATGTTTGCTTTAAAGAATCTTCTGTGTGATTTTAATTTTAAAAAGGAGGGGAAGAAAATCAGTAGATCTTTATGTAATTTAATCAGGATCAATCATGATCACATAGTGTTATTAAGTGTTTTTTTTTCCTTTTCCTTTTTAAAAAATGGAGTTATTGTCATGACCCACACGGCAGGGTCAGCACTGATTTGGTAACA